TCAGCCAGCAGAACGCTGCTGCTTCATAATACAATTTTAAGTCCGGCAGGGCAAATCCCCCTCTTTCTTTTGCATCCGTCAGTATTTTAAATTTTATTCTGGGCTTTTTGCCCTGCCAGACAAATTTCGAAATGTCCTTCTGCCACCTCCTGAAACAGTCCATCTTGTCAAGAATTTGCAGTGTTTGAAACAAAAATAACATTCTGGGCAATACATTCATCTTAATAGCTGCAATTCGGCCTAACATTGACAGTCTCAAATTTGACCATATTTCTAGATCTTTTTTAATTTCTGACCAACATTTTTCATAGTTGTCTTTATACAGGTTTCAAATTCTTAGATGTCATATAAACCCCTAGGTATTTCACCTTCTTGACCACTGTCAAGCCTGTTTCATTCTCTGAAACTTCTCCCTCTCCATGACTGTTAAATTTTTTTTCCAAAACTTTCGTCTTTTGTTTGTTCAGTTTAAATCCGGCCACTTGACCAAATTCTTGAATTATCTTCAACACCCTTTTTGTACTAGTGTCTGGCTCCTGTAAAGTAAGTACTAAGTCATCTGCAAAGGCCCTTAACTTATAATGTTTTGCTCCGACCTGTACACCTTTAACCTGCTGGTCATCTCTAATCATATTTAGCAACACCTCCAGAACAGAAATAAAAAGTAATGGAGAAATTGGGCACCCCTGTCGTGTCCCTTTTTCTATTTTAAATTCTTCAGTTATCACATTTACAATCAACTTGGCTTTTTGTTCAGAATATATAGCACCCATACCATTCTCAAATCCTTGCCCTACCCCCATCCCATGAAGATTCTTTTTCATAAATCTCCAAGAAATATTGTCAAAGGCTTTTCTCCGCGTCCACAAAAATCAGAACTGCTTTAGTATTTATATTCACCTCTAGTAATTCCCAAAGATATCTATTATGTTCCTCACGTTGTCTGATAAGTTGCCTTTTGGGGGAGAAAGCCTGCTTGATCTTATGAATCTTCTCCATCAACACTCTTTTCAGTCTTTTTGCCAAAATGTCTGCAAAATTTTGTAAATCCACATTAAGTAACGATATTGGGCGGTAGTTTCTTAAGTTGAGTCTTTTCAGTCTCTGTCCTTGGTATGAGTGTAATATACGCTTCTTTCCACGATTCTGGTGCCCTTTCCCTTCTAAGATCTCATTACAGACTTCCTTAAACGGTTGTACCAACCACTCCTTCAAAGCTTTATAATATCTGGAAGTCAGTCCATCTGGTCCTGGAGATTTGCCCAGTTGCATGTTCTGAATGGCACCCCTCTATCTCTTGTTCTGTTATTTTCTGATTTAGGTCCACCTTACTTTGATGAGAGATTTTTTGTAATCCATATTTTTAAGGAATTCA